TGATTATTTGGAGTTTTATCAGCAAATATGTGGCAGTACGGCAACATCCTGTGGTTAGCACTTAACTGCACTATGGTACCCGTTGGTGCCCTGCTCCTGTGAATATTCTTTTAATTTTTAAATTTATGTTTACACTTGCGCTGTTTTTTTTCCTCTATCGGATGGTTCAAGGTGAATTGCAGCATGAAGAATAGCACCTCAAACACTATGGCCATTTATCTCCCGCAATTTGGCATTCCGCCACCACAGGACAGTGCTGTTCCTTTTATTTGCAGGTCAACCAACTGCTATTTTTAGCTGGTTGCACCAAGTCATATTGCGCTGAATTTCTTCTTGAAGAAAACTCTAAATTAATGAGAGACTTCGTAAAAGCGCATAGAGTTTTAACCTGGTAGCTATAAAGTGGAAAAGACGCTACTCTGAGGCCGTTCAGCAGGAGTTTGTAAGCTTGTGCAGCCCAAAGTTGGCATTGCTGAAGTTTTTCTGCTGAAAGCATTACGTATACTTGTTCTTAATCAATTAAGTTTTAGAAATAAACATGTATGACAACTTAAAGCGTGGCTTATTCATAAGCAACGCGAACAATATGGTCCACCGAAAGATTGCCAAGTACCGCCGTTTCTTGACGAGACAAAACTTTAGTGCAGCTCAATCATCCGATTGACCATAGTGTTTGCACTGGGTATGCATTTGACGTGTTTAGTGCAGTTTTCGTTGCTCTGACCACCAACGCACGAATGAAATATTCCAAACTGAGCATCGGTTTTAAATGTTGGATATTAAATCCGTGATCAAAATTAACCCCGGTATTAGCAGTCTAAGAGCAAACTGCTAGCTCTCGATACTGCCAGGAAAATTGCCACATCCTTTTACTGTTCTCGAGTATAGTATTGATCGGTGATGAGGAGGACTGCCATATGTAATACCGCGATTTATTGGCCTCAGTGAGTGCTGCACAGTGGCGTTAGAACCTGTCTAATGCGGCAACTCAGGTCTATCCGGACATAAGTGTTAAGCGGGAAATAAATTTCCTAGCTTTGTGTTGGCTTGGTTTATGTTAAGATGCTCACGCAGGGCCTCTTGCGTAAGTAGTAAGTATTTGGTTTGAAATATCTATTGTATAACTCCGCCATGGCCGGTCCCAAGCCCGGATGAGAAACGAGGAGGGTTGGAGACCGTGGCAAGTCTCC